ATTTATCACTTTCACGGGTTTATTACGAATCAACTTAACGGCCTGCTCCCAGTTGGCTTGTTAGCTCAATTGGTAGAGCGCTGCACTAGTATCGCAGAGGTCAGTGGTTCGAGTCCCGTACAGGCCTGATTTTTTTCAGGTCTGATTTTCGCTATTACTTAAATAGCGCTATCTACTGCGAGGATCGTGCATCATACGTATCTAATACTGCAGTTCAAAATATATGAACTTCATATATTTCATTGTATCTAACCTATGTATGTATGTATGTATGTATGTATGTATAAATGAGAGCGTACTAATGAGCAGTAAAGGTGCAGAAGAGCATTACTATCGACCAGACCCGCGCAATTTCTCTTTAGGAAACTCAACATCCTATTTGCCTTAGCAACAATTGTAACTATGTGCTCCTTCCAAGAGGTGTCCTTGACAATCGTAACCCAAAGATCCTTTTCACATTTAACAACCTCCAGGTCAATTCCATGTAATAAACTGTAAGTACGTAGTGGGCTTACACGTTTCCTAGATATGTGCACATTTTTGCATTTGGCAGGTTGAAAATGCATTTCATTGCGCAGGGACCAATCTAAAAGTGCATCTAAATCCTGTTGCAAATTTACAAAATCAGACTCTTGCTCTATGATCTTATAGCACTTTGAGTCATCAACAAACATTGCAATCTTTGCGCTAGATACTGCGTTTGGCATATCATTAATAAATAATAAAAATAACATCGGTCCAAGTATTGACCCCAGTGGGACCCCAGATCCTACTTCTGACCAGGTGGAGCCAGTTCCATTTACAACGACTCTCTGTTGTCTTCCAACAAGATAGGAGCAGAACCATGAGAGCAAGGGATCCCCAATTCTGTACATTTTTAAGTTAGACACCAACTTAGAAGGACAGACTGAGTCAAATGCTTTTACAAAATCCAAACATATGTCAGTCTCGACTCCACTATCCAGGGCTTACCCAATGTCTTAAAGGAGCTGAGTCACACCTGACTTTCCTTTCTGAAACCCATGCCGAAAAGGATACGGAGCCTTTTTTATGCGAGGGACGAGATGGGAAGCCACACATTGTTCCTGAACTTTAGAAATGACAGGCAGCAGGGATACAGGGCGGTAACTAGGCAAACAACTGGTGCAAAAAGCACTAGACACTTGTGTGGTATATATTAATCAAGCAAGACAAGATCGTTAGTCCCTCTTTGTTTAGGCTTAACAAATTTCCAAAATGAATTAGGATTTTGGCCTTCCTGCAGTTTTCCTACATACGTTCATCAAGCTGTATTAAAGAGTCTCTCAACAAGGTCATTCAATTGTTGATACTTTCCACAGATGGTGGTTTTATTACTTCTGTGGACTCTCTTATACAATGATTTCTTCTTCTTGCACAAAGCAATCGGTTCCTCGGTAATTCAGGGGGGCATTGGGTCTCTTTTTGCCTTTTTCTTTGAGAATGCACCTATCAAGTGTGGAGAAAAACAAGGTTTTCAAAAAAGCCAAGTTTTGATTGAGGTCATCATCAAAGAATGCACAGTCCCAAGGAGTGTAGGATAGCAGTGACCTGAGGTGAACCCAGTCAGCCTTGCCATACTGGTAAAACACCTTTTGTGATTTGCACTGGAAGTAAGGAGTACCCGATAGTGAGAAACTAACAGAATTATGATCTTAGAAAAGCTCTCCAATAGATAGGTGGTCGACGAAGTCAGGTGAAGTAGTACAAACCAAGTCCAGGATATTTGAGTGTCTTGTAGGTTCATTTACTGATTGGATCAGGAAATTTCTTTAAAGGTACATCCAGACTGAACAGCTTCCCTGAATCTTGGATGCTTCATGTAGTAAACAGCATTTTGAAATAACTCAATCCTGGTTACACTAGACAAAAAAATGGAGAATTCCATGGTGCCCACAAGAGACAACTAGATAGAGTTAAATACCTGAAGAGAAAGCCACTGTATTAAGCAGGTTCAGATTCCCTGAAATAACTTCCTGATAAAATAGATTGTACTTTTTGCTAACAACTGCCAAAACAGATTCTCGTACCTCACTTGAAGTTGTGGAAGTCTCAGACAGGTCTTATAATTTTCACTGAATCATAGAAAAATGATTTTGTAATACATATGCAGCCTGCAGAAAAAATATGCCATAAACACCTAAACATTAATTTTTTTTTTCCAAAGTGTGACAGAGTCACTTAGGCTTATTTTCTACTTAAAACATGTTCGTTCTTCTGTTTATTTTATTTTCTGGAATTTTAGTGATTTGTCAGAAATTTTAGTAATGTGTTAATTGTATTATTCCTGTACCTGCCCTTGTCCTGTTGTGTGAGATTAAACACCGATTAATTTCCCTTATGTAATTCCTCTTTAATTGACTGCTCCTGACCCATAATTGGTTTTAAGTTATTTTTACCTTTTCCTGTATTTTACTATAAGTTTACAACCGTTTGCTCCTTAAGTTCAGTTGATCTGTTGCCTTCCTAAGAGTGTCCTTAAAGCGGATTCTGAGCTATACTAGCTTTTGGTATGTTTCAGTATTTTATGTTTGCTCAAGCCCTAAGCTTAGCATGTAGTTGTTTCCATTTGTATTTCTGTAGTGATTTTCAGGTTAGAATTTGCTTAGTTTAGCCACATATTCCTTTTATCTTACTACTGTATTTTATTTATTTACTCTGACCTTTGTCACACAGCATGTAATTTCTCTGCTACATAAACTGCAATTGTTTTCATATTAGCAGCTGTAATATTTTGATTACCTACTTCTAATTCACTGTTGCAATGATTCCTGTGTTTTCAGTACCAAATTATGGGTTCAAACTAGTAATTTCATTTTCCCCTTTCACTGTTTTATACTGTATTAGCTCAAGTTGTAATATGAAGCCTAGCTCATAGTCTTTGTTGAATTTATGCCTCATGTAGCAATCACTATTTTTGATAGTTTCTGTCACACAATTTCCTGTTTTCAAGTACTTTGTTTGTTTCCTATCTTTTACTGAATTATTTCTGTCTGTAGGTTATCCTTTAGTGTTAAGTACTTTCTCCTAATCCATTTTAATCTTGTTACATCATTTAGCTCATTGGAGCATTGTTTTCTTATCTATTGTTTAGAGTCACTTGTTCCCGTTTTTTGTACCACTGCATTTATTTGCTGTGTAATAAACTTTTAAATCTTCCCTCAGATCTTTTGTTCTTACGTTGACCATTTTGGCCATCTTACAAAAGGAAAGATTACAGAGCAATGCTTTCTCTGACCCAAGAAATGTGTAGCAAAAATGTCACACAACAAGAATGATCATACCACCCTCTAGAAAGCTCTTGGAAAAGGATGATAAAGGGCAAAGTTGCCAATGGACCCCTAAAGTGAAATAAAAGCCCTGAAGCTTGTGAGTTTCACCCAATAAAAGTGAACTCTGCCAATGTGGTCATTACAGATCCTGTACTTGCAATGAATAAGGACGGGCTGATACTAATGCCAAATATTCCATACCAGCAATACTGAGGTCAGATCAGAAAATATTGATACTCATGAAAACTTAATCCGTGCCTTTGATACTGCACCTGAGTTACCTGCATGTTATCTAACACCAGCAACCAACCACTGACAAGGAGCCCAAAAAAATGGGCTTGAGGCCTCGTGGGTGGTCGATCATGTGTATTTATCTGGTGAGATTTACTACTAGCCTCAAAGTATAGACTTAATCCTAACAAATTTAGCTCCAAAAGGAAATTTGCACATCCATTCTGCAAATAGAAATATATTTCCTCACGTAGCCAGACATTTCAGCTTTACAGTCAACTTAATTGCCTCCACGAGATGAGAAGATTGATTGTCAAAAGTCTCAGGCAGATTTTTTTCCACATACAATTAATTCAGGGTGATGTCATGGCAAACCTGGGTATCTCATGTCCCAGGCAATTTCTCCAACTTCTCAAAACATGCATGATATTAATCCTTAATTTTACTCAGCCCCATGCCATTACTTGAACTTAGTTTTCTATCAATAGTTTTTCCTTGTTAATTCCATGCTACTTCCATCTTTGTCATATTGTGAAATATGAAGGGTATGTTTCAACTTTACCAAAGTTAATGAGAAATGATCACACTAGTGAACCTACCTCAATGACATTGTCACCTACAGCATCACCTGTATTTTTCTTCCGAGAGAATTCCATTGTTGTAGTACCGTTACTTTCAGTAATATTTGTGATACTCCAGTCTTGGTGTTCATCTTCTTTTGGAAGCATATGTCCATTTGTCATAAGATCCTAGGAAAAGTTTGCCCATTTGAGTCATACAATTTTCATACAAACAAGATACTTATAGGGGCATTTTGAAGGGTGGCAGCCAACTTGTTTATTCTGAATTCAAGGAGCTGAGAGCGAAACTAAACTGAACATTAAATTATATTTCAAAATTAAAAACCTCTGGAAAATGCCTTAAATTTCTCGTTTTTCAAAGCCAAAACGCGCCGAGTTTACCCTGTTTCAGAAAAGACTTAGAAAAAAAATCCAAATTTTGAAAACAAAGACTACTACTCTCTGCGGAGTTCTATTGTTATCGCTATTGTTTTTATTGAACAAAGACTGAATGCATAATTAATGTCTGGGGTTATATGGTACTCTTGCCAATTATTTTAATTTCCATTTGGAACTCAACGGCTACTTTATACATCATACTGAAGTTGAGCTGTGGCGCCGTATGAGACAGTAAGCTCCTGCAGCCATTTTTGAAATTCTAACTAAGAGTAGAAATTCATATTTAAATCGAGGTCTTCCTTGGCGTCGCCGTCGTGGTTTCTTAAAGTCCCTAACAACGTGAAATAACCAAACTTTAGGTTTTCTCGAGAACGTGAGCGCATGACGGTTAATTTTTCTTTCTTTCTCCTTACTTTAACGCCGTTCGTAGTTATAAAGTCCCTGAATATGTTCGCCAGCATTTTCCAAGTGAAACACATCGGAATAACCTCGAAAAAGTTACTAAAACGAAAAGTTAGATTTCGACACGACGTTTTCGTTGCCGTCGCCGTCGTCGTTGCTAAAGCTCCCTAATAAGTCACAGACAAATAACGCAGCAGATAGGTTTGCCATTATTTTGAGCAATAATTACGTTCTCACGACTTTCATGTATCAAGGATAAAAACATGGAGTTACACTGTTATGACAAGAAAGTAAGAAAATAAAAACTTAACCTTGAAATACATATTTCCACTACCGTCAACACCGCCAACAAGAACATCGTAATACCGCATGGAATTGTAATTCCACGCTAAGATTTCGTTGTCGGGCCACAACAATCTCGATACGCCAAATCCAATCCAGCCTGTAGCTTTTACCCTCACTTTAAAATAAAAGGTTTCTGTATTGTTTTCGTACTCCCAATCGACTAAGTAACTACCTTCATTTAAATTTTCGTTCTTTGAGTACACAATGCTTGAAGAAGAGGAAGCAAAAAGCCATAAACTACACAGCAGTGGCAAATGCATTCTCCCTTCGTGTCTTGATTCCTCAAAATTGTTTTATGTCTTCATCACAATACAAGAATTTTTGAGATTTGTATTTCCTTTCTCCAATGGAAACTGTCTTCATTTGTGGCGGTAAATTTGAGATCGAAGTAGGTGGTTCGCACGTTACCTCATGCCACCATGCTGGTGGAAGTAAACAATAGATATCTCATTAGCTCCTTTTGTTCGTCTACCAGCATTTACATTTGACCCGCACACGTCAACGACGAGTGACAAATGAGCCTAGGTCTTCCCAGGGAAGACTTCCTTATATAGCGCGCCTTCGTGTTTAAGTTATCATTATATTACTGCTGTTACCACTATTATCATTTTTAATACTATTATTTGTTACCATCTAATTATTGGTTGAATGTCAATTGGACACTGTATTCTAGAATCATCTTTCTCTTGTGGAATAGGGTACTCACGAATATGCAGCTGGTTTTCTGTTTCGCTTGTGAGACAAATGTTCTGCAACGCCACCTTCAAGCGTTATTATACAACCTCAAGTTCTTTTCACTGCTACAGATGTTGTGTCTATTTTTCTCATGTTTACATTTGCTTACAAAGTAACCACTAATTAACCCTAATCGTGTTTATCATTAGATGGGCTCTATCACCAATATCTATAAACGCCTACTACGATATGTTGGCTAACAAAATGGGTGAGTAAAAGAAATTTTATATATCTGAACCTTTAAGTTCACACATGTCAAAAGACCGTCATGGCTCAGAGATACTTTATTTCTTCCGAAATGGTTTGTGTTTTCAGAAACCATTGTCATATGCCATTTACATACCAAAGGATAATTAACTGCGGACTGAAGTGCATCCTTGAGAGGCGTCACAAAACATTCTTTGTTCATCAAAACGAGAGAAAAAATTACCGGTACCTAAGATTCAGGCCACGAATCGAATGACTTCTTTCGCTGGTAAAGTGTTTAATGTTACTTAGTTGGGAATGCCTATGCAATGATGATTTGTTTTGATTGTTTTTTTAGTGTTTCCAGCGGCTATCCTCCAATCTCCATTTTACAATAAGAGGTATCCGAGGTAAGTGTGTAATGAAACCGCAGAATCATTGTTAAAATAAAAGTTAAACTGATTACGCGCATGTTCAGAATAGTGATGCAACATTAAAACTGCTTTTCAGTGGTCAATCGGTCATTATGAGAGGTAGGTGGATACTGTCTCTAATATATATGCAATCTTTTACGATTGATTTTGACTTAGCATTTTTCCAATTGTAAGGGTTGATGCTATTCCTTTCATCCCGGGCGTCCGATCACTGAAGTTGAAACAAATCGAGTTGTCCTACATCTCAACTCAATTTCCATAGGTCAACCTCACCAATTCCCTAAGGAAACAACTTGAAATTAAAACTTGAACTTTTGACTCGCACATTATCAGCTCATGCAACCTTGAAAACGCGGCAAATATATTTTCCAGCCCGAGTCGAAAATATCTTTTTGCAGTCATAGAAATTACACGTTTTCAAACTATGTCCGAAGAAGAAATTGCTAAATAGAGCAGGCGGAAACAGTAACTGCTTCTTCCCCGGGGCTCTCAATGTTCCCGTAGGGAAAACTGAGGGGGATATTGAGGGTCTCAGGGAAACGAAACTCACTGTTTCCCAGTCATCTAGTGCGTGATCGTCGAAGTCGACTTTCGACCCGTTCTTGTCACTGGATGAATTAACCATTTTTGAAAGAGATATAAATTGGCGTTGACTTTTCAGCTAGTCCATAGTTAAGTGACAGGGCGGTGTTGTACGGAGGGGCTGGCGGCATAAATGGGACACGAACTAACTCACGGATATGACGTAGACGGTGAGCTCGTGCTGCTCGCTCTTTACGTTATAGAAAACTCTTTGCCTTTCCAAGCAAACAAAATAAGTCATTTCTAATTGTCCGCATTCTTGTAACTTGCGATGTATCTTTCAACGATGAAATAAAGATCGTTAACTATTCATCTATTTATCCATCTATATGAGATATATGGAATCAGTTTAAATCTTGTTCTACGATAACAGGGAGACGATTTGATATCAAAGGAAATGAACGGAACTGGTGAAGTGAGGAAACCCTTAAAGCGTTCATCAGAAAAACCGAGTCAATACTCTAATTTTACATTTCATTTTCATTTACTGCAGTAGGTTTAACTGATTTCCTTATTTTATTTCGTGCCGCGGTTTACCGCGCATAGGAATCACTTCTAAAGCTGATAAATCATCTTACACCTCAGATTGATGGCGAAAAAACCTTGTCAGGAAACATAGCTGATAATGGAGGACTTAAACAGGCGTTCAGGGTAAGTTCTGTACCCTTTTCCAGTCCTGGAACGACAAGTTGCTTTCATTAGACTTTCTTTCCGACAGACTATCTCTCGTTTTTGTCAAAAAGGTTACTCAGATCCTTGACTAAAATTCAGCAAACCTTAACAAGAGCCTCGTCGACTATTAGCTCTGACGAAGGGCTAATGCTCGAAACGTCACCTTTAGAAACTCTTTACGGTGGCCAACTTACATTATCAACTCAGTTGATAAAACCAAATTACCTAATAGAAAACGAATCCGTTTTGCCGAATGCCCAGTGGGGAAATACGTACAAAGTGAGTTCATTAATTAGTAAATTCTTGTGGTTGCACTTTCAAGGACTTTAAAACCTTAGTCAAAAATTATTATATCTAGCTTTGCTAAATTGCTTTAATGAAATAAAACTACGGTTTTCTTGAACGGCTTAGTGCCACCATACCTCTGCGATCTTATAACAAAATATGTGCCCAGACGCAATTTAAGATCAATCAGTGGCCATCGCCGGTTTGGTTGACGTTGGTTACAAACTTACCGGATGTGGTTCAAGATAATTTTCTCTAGCCTCAGCTAAACTCTGGAACGCACTGCCGCTGGAAATCCGTTCAAGCGACAGTTTGTTGCATTTCAAGCGCAATCTAAACAAACATGTTTTTAGGAAAGCTTTTTAAAAAAATTCACTATTGGTTGGTCAGTGAATTAATTATTTAGGTAGGAAGTTTTTTATTTGAGGTCTTATTACTATTAGTTTTTATTTTAAATTCGACAGCTTAGTTATTTCATTGATTAGTTTATCCTACTCATGTTATAGATATTTCTACGTGGGCTTTTTTTAAAATGATTGTAGGGCGCTATTGGATAGCGTAAGAAATGGCGCCTTATAAATTTTTAAGATTTTCTTCATTAGTTATCAGGCTTATAAGAACTGGATTGCACGGAACGGTAACGAGCCTCAACTGCCTGGAATGAATCTTACAAATGAATAGGTGTTCTTTATAAGCTTTGCAAGAGTAAGTAACTGATTTTCATGACTTGTCAAAATATCGTCAATTAGGAAGATGGCTTTATATGGGCCCGGGAGCACTGGGCTGACAAAATTTGTTTTGCTCCACAAATAATCTTGACAAAACTTTGTTTGTTTGTTTGTTTTTTTATATATTTGTACAGTGTACAGGCGAGAGAACAAATAGGACACGTAGTCCCCTACTAGGTTCACCCACCTAAACCAACCCCAACCCACTCATCCCACCCCAGGGGAGGACATCCCCCACACAGCAACCTCGTGCGTGGGAAATTAACGTCTCCTACCCCTAACCCTGCAGGAGACGGGACCTTCATTTAATTATTTGTCCCTATCCGAGAAGACTAGAACATCTAACCATTTCTTGATGTTATAGAAAGGTAGCATATTCTTCTCAATTGTTTTAAGACCTTGACTGTTGGTCTGGCCGGGGCTCGAGCCCTCGACCTCCCGCACAACAGCCCAGCGCACTATCCACTGAGCTAACCGTTAATCACGCGGATATACAAATTGAGCAGTACTTGGACCCGGGGATTCAGCTTAAAACGTAAACTTGGGAGCCAGAAACAGCGCCTTTGAAGATTGGCAAGGGTTGGTAAAATTTGGTTGGACAAAAAATCACCGGGCAGACTTGTCTCACTGAACTGATGACAGATGTTTTCGTTTAAAATACAAAAGTTTTCCTAAAGCGACCGGGCTCAAGACTGCATTAACTGTATATGCACATTTTGATTGGCTATTACTGATGACCTATCAAAGAAGAGACGCATAGATGACGTAACCATTGAAAACATTGATTCCATGTTGTCGTACGTGTTTTCAGTAATAGATCACAGATGTCGTCAAATCTGGTAAGAACAAAAAAGTCGCACACGAGGCTTAACCAAGTGTGTCACTGATGTGACACATTTCAGTGAAGTACACGGCCATCTTCCGTCTTTGTCTATTGGTTGCATGTTCTCTATCTACAAAAAGAGACGGTCTCTGAAACGTCTGCATTTACCGGTGCTAAAAGTCACGTTTTCAAAGAAATTAAGAATTTCTTTTTTGGACTTGAAAAAAGTAAAGGAAAAATTTTGATCGCGTCCTTCATTGAAAAAATGTTTATTGACTGGGTCTGGTCGGGCTGGAAGGGAGAATATTTGGCTCTTGGTCATATGTCCCTGCGTCATGACCTCCAACCAAATATTTTCCCGTCCAGCCCGACCCTGAGACCTTGTCAATAAAAACGTATTCTGTGTGGAGCGACTCGTTAAGATTTAAGAAAATACTATAAATGTCCTTGATCATTCAATTTTTGCCAGAGTTGGTGTTCAGTCTTTTCAAGTAGAGGGGAGGAGTTCGCCTTATTAAGTGAACACAGCCCAGCCCCGTGGAGGTAATGTTCCGTCCTTATGATATTAAATTCAAGCTTTTCCCTACGGAATAGATGTGTAATTTTCTGTTTGAGATGTCAATTATCTCGTCTAAAGCACTCGTCTAATCGAAGCGTTCCTCATTTATGAGGGTCCCCAATAGGTTTTTAGGGACCCGGGATTGGGCTTATTTGAACTCCGGGATCCGGGAATTTTAGAGTAAGAAGGGAATGAGATGTGGGATTGTTTTTTTTTGAACGGGACACGGGAATCTACGATTTTGAGGGTTAGGATTCGGGGAAATCATCACAAAACTGTCCCGATCGTTTTACTTCTCTCCACAAACGCGAAAATGAAACGCGATTGCGTATAAACGCCTGCATGGTAGGCTAAAAATGAAAGGCTGATTTTCTACTCGGAAGAGTTTCCTACTTCTGTAGAAGTGTTCAGTCTGTTTTTCTTTTTCCCTGATTATGAAACTATCGGATCTCCGTCACCTTTAGCTGTGTAATGCGCTTTTTGACATTGTTATTCGTTTCTTAAATACTGACCTGCTTTTCCGTTATCGAAGTGTACGGAATGAACAAGGACTGCGCAGAGTGAGAGGCCGGAAACTTGTCCTGCGAGGCATGTCCCCACCCCCTTATCTTGTTAGCTGAAACTTGTGCGTTCGTCTTTAGCCCCTCACTCAAAAATTTACTGCGCGGGCCCTGAGGAGGTCTTATCCGCTACTAGCGTACGTTATTCGAGCAAAAGTTTGAAAACTCTAAATGAACGACGTCATTGTTTCAGTAAAAAGAGATAAACTTACGTTTTAAGGTGGACAGAGACTGAAAGGGATCGATCCTTGTCGAGAAAAGTTTCTCCCAATGAAAAGGTCTTTAAAATTGACTTAATTCTGATCGTGATCGGGATTAGCCGGTGCAAACCGAAAAGATTACGGGATTGAGAGAAAATCGTTGTCAGGATCGCGGGATTGAAGAACCCTATTGGGACCCTCATTTATCTTTCTTGCATGGAATGTAAAATTTTGGGGAACAAATTGTGTATGCATTTACCCCGGCCCTCTAACGCCTAAATTCTTCTTAAGCTTTGGTCTAACTCATACACCTTTACTACGGTGGAACCCGACATAAAGAGGRGAACTTCCAATTGCGTGATGATTGTTGCCGTCCTAACGTTTGTGGTGGCTTAGTGGTTAGGCTGCTAGATTGTGATCGTTTCATCTTGGATGTCGTGCTCCATAACATCAGCCAGTTTTGCATAACGGTTGTTCTCAAAACTTCCGGCCCATCTTTGAACTCGCTGTATTTTCGCTTCAAGCTATTGCGGTAGTGGATATACTGCAATGTCATCGTAATCAAGTTTCAATAGTGACACCTCAAAAATTACACAAAATGTTTTTGTAACATTTGCCAGGCCGAGGAAGTTGACAAACGGAAGAATGAGACTATCGTTACAACTGGTATCCATAATATATCGAGGTTTCACTGTGAGAATTAGATGTATTTGAATTTATATGTTCTGAACGCTCCCTCTCTCTCTCTCATACATCTTAAGATAATTTTTCACTTTTTGACTGTTCCACACTGTTTATTGTAGGGCAAAAGCATCGGTGGTGAACTTCTCGGAGTTTGCAAAAGCATTCAATTGTCCAGCAGGGAGCGCAATGAACCCAGTTAAGAAGTGCACGGTCTGGTAACGATATCAAGCCTAGCGTCTATATGTATAAAATCTTTTTAATTTAATGAAGGGAATGATTCAAAGTTTAACAGAAATGCAACTTTACTGATTCATACAAACTATATTTTTTTATGAAGATCAATCCTTAAAAAGCTTGACCCAAAGGAATAGTTAGTGAGCTGTCCTAACGGTAAACCCTGCGAATTATGAAGTTAAGTTTGTTCACTGTAACTGATAGCAGCGTGGCCTGTCACCAGTAGGTCATTATCTTTATTCTACCGTTCCAAGAAAGCAGCCCTTTAGGCAGCGGAAACTTAGTACATCCTGTGAGAGTTTTTCACTTTTCACCACAAACAGTGGCACTGCTCAAAGGTTCAAAGCATTTGTTTCCTTTATCTAGTATCTCCAATTAGTAGATGTCCCTTGTAAAGGGGCTATTTACTTACTGAGCAAGGAATGCATTTTTTGTGTTGATAATCAAACTCTGATAAAAGGAAAAAACTGTATATTGCTTTTTCAGTGCAAAGAGCTGCTAGAAAAACTTTCACGTTTTCAAACACAAGAACGTTGTTCATTCATAGACGACAATACGCATTTGTGTTAAGAACTCTTTTGTCTATCTGGCATTTCTTTGCACAGCAGAAGCGAGGTAAATAATTATCTTACCTATTTTTCATTAATCCTTTGTTCTCGCTGCTGCTGTTATGCTAGAGGCCCTTCTAAAACCATCGCAACGAAATCATTGAGAGAATTTATTGTAAGAATAAAAGAAAACAAAGCATTTGGAAAATAAAAACAAATAAAGTTGGTATATTGTTTTGGTTATGTCTCAAGTCTCTACAGCGATTCAGTCTTTGTTAATGATATTACGTTTGTGGTATTTCATTTGTCTGTTTTCCAACTGATGATATCTATTTACCTGTTTGACGTGGTGTTGATTACAAACACTTACGTTGGCACAAAGAACATTTGGAAGTGAAGGAGTGGCATCATTGCATAGCATATATGGCACCATATAAAAACCCGTTCAGCATTCCTTAGCTTTAACAGTAACTAGAAAAATATCAAATAGGTCTGTGAAGAATTGTTCAACAATAAAATAAATTATTCAAAGCGTTTCTATTTAAGGTGTTTTTGTCTTTAGAAAAACGTCATCATTGTTCGTTGGGTCCTCACAAAACTACATTAAACATTTATTGTTTCCTCTCGTGAACAAACGACATTTTCACCAAGAACATTTCTGATGTAAGACGTACCTGAGGAAGATATGGGGAATAAGAGAAATTGTCAGGTGA